TGTCTTCACCAGATTTGCGGCAAACCAGGGCAAACCAGGCAGCGGTGAGAAAGAGAGAGGGGACATGAAGATCTACTGCCGCTGCAACTTGCAGCAACGGTGACGAAACAGAGCAAGAGAGAAAATGGGGGAAGAGGGGAAGAAGAAGGAGAAGAGAGAAGAAGATCAGGGAGAGAGAGAGTAGGAGATGGAAGCCGAAGATGGGTTCAGATCCGCCGCTTCTCTTCCTAGTCGCCACTTAGTTCGGTCGAGAGGAGGACGAAGGTGAATAGTGGATTACTTCGTAAATTTCTCCCCCTTTTTACATTTTCCCATCCCATCCCATCCCAATAAAACCAAACAATATAAACTTAATTTTTTACACTTTTCCATTCCTCCATTCCACCCAAATCTTCCCATAAATGAAACGGAGCCTTATATTTTATATTTTGTATGTATTTACACTATAAATATTTGTATTTGTACTCTTTCAAAACTAAGCCTTATAAGTAAGGTGAAGAGGGTAACGGATGACCTCTAATAATTTGGGAGTATTACGTAAGCACTGGCGTAGCGTCTTCCACCACTTTCACGGATGATGGCGTGCATATCCGAAACAAAAACAAAAATCCTGTATTATCGGCTCTCTGATAGACTTCGATTTCGGTCTATAATCTATTAATATCACATTATAAAACGTCTATTGTTCTCAAACATTTCTACTTATAAAAGCTCGATCGGGTATGACTTACGTCTTTATTCGTCCGACCTCAGAGCTGCGAAGGCGAGCGTTAGAGAGTAGAGAGAGAAAAAGTAATGGAGAAAGCCATTAACAGACAGAGAGTTCTGCTCGATCATCTTCGCCCTTCTTCGCAGACTCATCATCAGTCCTCCCTCTCCGTGAGTTTAATATTCAATTTGTAGGATTTTCTTTTTTCTTTTTTCTTTTGCATTTATTTACTGTTACAATTAGGAATTTCAGCACTGTTTTAGACCCGTGCTGATGATCATGCAATTGGATTTGATTATTTTTGTGTTGGAATTGAAACTGTTTTAATTTTCTTTTTGATCATTGACTGGAAGAACTTTGTTTCATCTGTTATTTTGGTTTAATTTCGATTCGGTTACTCTGGTTATATGATGATTTTTAATCTATTTACAATATTTATGTTTTTTCTTTATGAATTCTAACTCGAGGCCTTGGACTTGTGATTCAGTACGTCAGCCTACATATAATTTAGGTGTTTCTGAACTGATCTGATATTCTAATTTCAAAATTATACGTTTTATAGTCTTTTTAGCTTTTGCTTTAACATAAGGGTTTCTTCAAGAGGAACTTGGATAGAATTTTTTTGGCCTTTTTTTTTTTTACTCTTTTTGGTGCTGATATACATGACGTGCATTCGGCCGTATGGTGGCATCTTAACGTTGTTTGGAACTAAAACACTGATCGCATAGTCGCATATGAAGTTTTCCTGTTAGTGAAATATTTTCATGGGTTCTCCACTTAGAAAGAAGATATAAATATGCAGCAAACAAGTACCTCGAAAGTGAATTGATTTACAGCAGTACCAAAACATCACAGAGAACCATGGCATGGCAGAACAATGGATCTGTGAAATGGTGGGAAACAGAAAAACTTATTGGTTTTGATGATGGTTGAGGTGCAGCAATGTACGCTGTCCTTAAAACTGATTTTGCCTTCTCAAGGAACATATCCTATTGTGCAAAAGCATTCCAGCATCCCGCCTCCAGGATAAAAAAGTCCTAGGCAGGACTTGGGGGTGGGGGGCAAATTGGTGTATTATTAAGTGGGGATTGTAAGGAATTTTGAGGCACAGGGGTTCCACCCAAGTCTGGATCTACTGGCCACGCTCATCCAGCCGCACATCAGGAATGTAAAGTACAACTGATATTCCCGATGCGTGGTTGGGTGAACGTGGCCAGCAATGTGTTGTTCTCAACACAGATCCGGACTCATTCCACCCGGGGTTCCAAGCTCCAACAAAGTGTGCAATCACAACCCAGAGACCTGTCCACTATGTATGTCCAATCTGCTCCAAAGAAACAATAGCAAGGGTTAATTACTTAAATATACCCTGAAATACTTAAGTATATCCTGTTGATTGTAAAACTATTTGGATACACCTTGTAAGATGGCCCCACATAATACCAATAGGCCATCTGTTAAGGAAATAGGGCCGTTTCGCATGCCCATTAATTTTTTTATAATCCCAGTTTTACCCCTGCATATTGTCCATCCACTTCTTCAAACCATGCAACCGGAAACCCAAACATAAACAACTGGGAAAGAATTACCATGATGGGTATGGATCTCTTGGAGCAAGAGCCTTCCAAACAACTTCCTACCTATTAAATAGGGACTATTGTCAATCTTCCCAATCAAAGAGGGAACATCATGTTATTGACTCTAATGCAAAAGTTTGTGATTAGAAAATCAAGGTATAAATATTGGAAAGCAAAGGGTAGCTTAGGATCCATTCAGGCAACATGAAATGTAATATTTGGTGATGGAGAGTATCTTTCCTAGACTTTATGAAAAACTCTCACAATGCAAAAGTCAAAACAAGGAAGAACTAAGCAAAGAAATAGGTCCTTTTCATAAGCAAAAAACAAATAGCATAAAAGACAAAAAAAGTTCTCAGATGCAAAAAAATAATTACATCACAGTAATAAATTTATTAGTTTTAATAACCAAAAAAGGTAATAAATATATAAAATATCCACCAAGAAGTACTGACAGCCTGATTTTTCCTCCAATAAAAATGATGTAGGCTAAGGAAGCCAATCATATGCTATGACATGTGAATTAAATAGCTTAACATGTACCAACCAAGAAAACAAAAAGATGCTTAAAATGTTCCATTTCCAGTTACTGAATTTGCTGCTTGTTTCTATTTGTTTTGATTTATTTTGAGTTCCTATTTCATGTTTCTGTTGTTTTCTGTTTTACTATCTTTTTTTGACCAGGCCTCTGTATGTTTGGCTGGGGATAGTGCTGCATATCACAGGACTGCTGCTTTTGGGGATGATGTAGTGATTGTGGCGTAAGTTTCTTCATTTTCTCAATTCCAATTTCCAACCTGTATTTGTTAGTGTTTCTCTTTATCTATAGTGATAGTAACCATTACTCGTGTACATTTTTGCTGCATTTCATGTTCAGTGCGTACCGTACTGCCCTTTGCAAGTCAAAGCGTGGTGGCTATAAGGATACCCACCCTGATGATCTACTTGCACCTGTTCTTAAGGTTTGTTATTTTTGTTCCTTTTTTCCTGGAGTCTAGTTCTCTGATGTTTGTATTGTGATTGATGAATTTTAAGTCATCATTATTTTATTTCCCTTAGTTAAACCTCTTACCATCTCCTGTGACTGATGTTAATGAAGGCTTTGATCGAGAAAACAAATTTGAACCCTAATGAAGTTGGGGATATTATTGTTGGCACGGTCTTGGCACCGGGATCTCAAAGAGCCACTGAATGCAGGATGGCAGCATTCTATGCTGGGTTCCCTGGTATTTTTTTATTGATTTTAGTTTTTGCATGCTCCTTTCCTTCTAATCTTGTTCCTTAAGTTCTATATAACCATACTAAAGTTCCTGATCTACCCAAATCACACAGAAACTGTGCCCATTAGAACTGTCAACAGGCAATGCTCTTCTGGCCTTCAGGCAGTTGCTGATGTTGCTGCTGCAATAAAAGCTGGATTTTATGATATCGGTAAGAGCAGATCCAAATTTAAATTTACACCCATATACTGTTGGATCAACAAAGTCCCCGAGACCTCATTCTTTTTCTTTCACAATGTAGGCATTGGAGCTGGGTTGGAGTCCATGACAATAAATCCAATGGGTTGGGAGGGTTCAATTAATCCAAGAGTATGCTTTCTCTCAGATATGTCCTTCTTTTGGTGAAATGTTTTCTTTAAAAGGAACTTATATGCTAAGTTCTTTTCCTTTTGATTTTCCAGGCAAAAGACTTTCAGCCAGCAGAAGATTGCCTTCTTCCTATGGGTATTACTTCTGAAAATGTTGCACATCGTTTTGGTGTATCAAGACAGGAGCAAGACCAGGCTGCTGTGAGTTTATTACATTTATTAGTGCATTGATGCATTCCTATATGGTTATTTAAAGAAACATCATCCTCTTCAAATGTTCTTGTATAGGTTGAATCCCATAGAAAGGCTGCTGCTGCCACTGCTTCTGGTAAATTCAAAGATGAAATCATCCCTGTGACCACCAAGGTAAAGATTTATGTTATGGAGCTAGAAAATCTGTTTGTGTGAAATTAGATTGTCTTTAGTCAGGAGCTGACTGTTTTTTTCAACAAAGATTGTGGACCCAAAAACTGGAAATGAGAAGCATGTTACAATATCTGTGGATGATGGAATAAGGCCAGACACATCATTGGCAACTTTAGCAAAGCTGAAGCCTGTATTTAAGAGGGATGGGTCTACTACTGCTGGTATCTATTAATTGCTTCCTTGCCAATCTCTTTATCGAAGAATAATTTGATCAGATATACTATTATACAATGTGATTTAATTTGAAATAAGTTCTTCCAAAATGTCTGTGAGCAGGAAATTCTAGCCAAGTGAGTGATGGTGCTGGAGCAGTCCTCCTTATGAAGAGAAGTGTGGCAATGCAGAAAGGACTTCCCATTCTTGGTGTATTCAGGTGCTAACCTCCTTCAAGAAAAAAAAATGTACCTTCATCCAAATGTTCAATAGGCTGGATTTGTGTGACACTAGCTCCCCTCCACCCCATCCCAAACAAAACACATACACAGAAAGAAAAAGGTCTTGGTGTATTCTGCACTTATTTGGAAGTTCTTTGTGGCATTATGTTGTTCTTTACAAATCTAGTAGATTTTTTATTTTTCATGCCAGACCAGCAGACTTTAATTTTTCAATTTTCAAATTGCATCTATAAATGTTTATCCATAATCAATGCATCTTTAAATGCTTATTATGCCTCAAGTTATGTTGGTTTCTCTTTGCTGAAATTCTACTTATTCTTAGCATCATCTGTAGTTGTGGTTTTTGTCTTGGTATAATTTGTTTCCTCTAATTGAATCTCTGATGATTTATTCTCAAAAAAAAAGAAAAAGAAAAAAGAAAAAATATGATTTGCTTAGATGTAGTGCTCTAATCTATATTTATATTAGCATGAATTTTATATTTTGACTAGAAATCAGGCATAAGAGCTGTTAAATTTACACTGTCTGCTGTTTATATGAAGCTTTCTTGTGTTTCTCATGCAGGAGCTTTGCTGCTGTTGGAGTGGATCCTGCTGTCATGGGTGTTGGCCCAGCTGTTGCAATTCCAGCAGCCGTGAAGTCTGCTGGTCTTGAACTTGATGACATTGATCTTTTTGAAATAAATGAGGTGACAATTAACAACCTAATCTTTCTATGGTTGACACATCACATTAACAAATTGTCAATTTAACCCTCAAAAGTATTTTAACTGTTGTAATTTGTCACTCCTTATTTAGGCATTTGCATCCCAGTATGTTTATTGTTGTAAGAAGCTGGAACTTGATCCAGAAAAAGTCAATGTTAATGGAGGTGCCATGGCTATTGGACATCCTTTGGGTGCAACAGGTATTTATAACATTGCATTCAACTTGTCGCAAGTTAACGCACTATTATTTGATTGCCACACTTCACACCATTGAAAAGACATACAAATAGAGAAGGAGAAAATGCAAGAGAAAGGGTATTCTCAACTGGTTACCTTTTTCTTCTAAGCATTTCTGTCATACTATGTTTTTCCCAGCTAGCCTAGCAGCGTATTATGTTATCATGGACTTCTTATTTTGTTAAATATTTAATCTATTGAAGTGCTGAAGCTCACAGGAGAGCTTATTTCCTTAATTTTATCATAATTTGAGTCATGCTTAAATATTTAATAACTCAGAATCTCCTCCAAACACCCATGATCCAGTCTCATTTTTTCCAATTTTTATAGAAATAGTTGCATATATCTTAGTCAGATGATCTTACATTACCGTTCTTCATTAGACAAAGCAAATAAGGATGGATATTGATTTTTCAGTGAGGTTGAACCCACCCAGGTATGTCCTGGAAATTTAACTAGATGAAGATGAATGTGCTACACAATGCAACCCTCTAGTGATGTTTTCATATGTGTCCTCTTCAAATGGGAGGAGAAAACGAAAAGGAGTTTCAGGTGGTGAATAGATGGAGGGCTGGGTTGGATATTGAAGCGAAAAGGTTCCTTATGGAAGGCGGAAAATCAAAAATAAGAATTTGCTGAAGGTAAGAGAAGGTAGAAGGGCGACATTAATCCTTCTTGAGGTAGCTGTTCACTGGTTGAAAGGCTTCATCGATGGAGCACTTCAGTCCACAAAAGCCGTAGGGTGGAGGAATGTACTGGAGTTGGAAAAGAAAAAATATGAAGTGGAACCCAGATGGAATAAAAAAGGGTGGTTCATTACCATCATAGAACATTTCGGTGACCAAAAGCAAATGGTATGTATACCGGAAGGGAAACAAGGTCAAGGATGGAAGTCATTTGCGATGGAGTTGCAGAAGTTCCTGGCTGCGACTAATCTCCTGCAAGTGGAACAAGAACAAGAACAGAGCAACAAGATGGGTACCACTGAGTCATCGTTCCAGGCATTGAAATAAAAATCGACCAGTTGCGGCAAGGCAGTAATGTTTCCAAACAGGGGACTGGAAGTCTGGGTTGAGGCTGAACTGGAGGATTGGGAGAAGAAAATGGTGGTTTCCGCCAGTAAGGATGTTCAAGACTGGAGGAAGCTGCTGAGAGTGGTAGTGTATAACTTGCAGATAGATTTGGAGGTTACCTTGGAGCCATTTGCAAATAAGAAGGCAATACTAAGCGTCGGAGATGGAGTTGACAGGGGATTTGCAGCTTTCGAGTGGGAAGAGGGGTTGATCTATGTCCAGAAATGGAAACCCTTGTGTAATGAGGTGGAGCCGTTCAGAGGGAGCTTCACGCTGAGAATGTTCGGACTCCCGTTTCATMTTTGGAATAGATTAGTCATAGAAAACCTGGTAAAAATGTTGGGGGGAGTGTTGGAAGATTGCAATCTACAGGATCTTCGAGCAGTCGAGGTGAAAGTTAAAGGGGTGACACCAGAATCGATTCCAAAGACGTTTGAAATACTTGTTGACAATGTCTGGTACAGAGTATGGTTGGTCTCGGAGCTGGAGGTGGAGCTTTGGGGAAGAAGAACCGAGGTAGAAGGTGAAGGGGATGTGGCGGGGTCGATCCCACGTGGCAGACAGGTGTTGGCGGACCTGAAGGTGGAACGACAGTGGCCTAAGGAGGTAACTGAAAAGCGGCAGCTGGAAACCAAGAGACAAGAAAGCCATTTCAAGAAAAAAATTTAAAATTTTTTGAAGTGTCTCGAAGCGAGGAGGCTCGAGCATCCTTTGCTGACGTGGTCAAGAAGAGGGTTGGACCACGTAATGGCTTATCGCGGGCTGGAGGGTCTGAACCGATTGGAGGAG